AAGAAGAACTAGCTAGGCGGCCTTGGATGCATTTTGGCTTCATGATTTAATTTGAAAACTTTGATTTGGTTTAGTTAGGTTCATCATATGATGATGATACCTAACTAAATCAAATCTATGAAAAATTAGGAGCAAAATGAGTCCAATATGCAAAATTTTGCCTAGGCCCAGTTCTGGCCCAATTACTAATCACACCTCAAGCATTGCTAAATGTCACCCCCTTTTCCCTACTGAAAAAATACAAAATGAATGTAACAACTAGGGAGGTTAAATGGAGTCAAACTCTCCAAGTAACCTACCTTGAAATCAATATACAAATACTAACAAAAGCCAATAAAGTGCCTCTCAAATACAAAGGCAAAAATAACCTATACAAAAGACTATTTGAAAACTATACAATATATACAAGTAGAACTAGGCATTCTCTTCATGATAGAGCATTCCAAGTGAAGAATACCTTGGGCTTGGCAAGTCCACTAGTCTTCACAAGGTCCAACTCTTCTTGGATTCTTCTAGCCATAGCTCTAGTGACTGGACCCTTGGTCCATGGTCTATCATCCGAACATGGTGGGTCTCTTCTGACACTTACCAAATTAGGTAATATGGTGCTAATCGGCTGATTATGCCTTAATCGTGTGTTTTTCCTTGTTAATTATGATCATCGTCCTAACTACTATCTGGGTCTATCAGCCCTTGGCCGAGCCGATAGGAAAAGGTTGGGACAATCCTTCTTTCTCGGCCTTTGGCCGAGCCAATAGAAAAAGGGTTGGATTGTCCCTCGTTTTTGGCCCTCTGCCGAGCCGAGGCCGTGTCCGAGACCCATGTCAATGTCTGATAGGACATCACGTGTCGGTCCACGTGGCCGATAGGATCCTTCCGGTACTATGATCATCGCCCTAATCGTTGCTTGGCCTTCTTGGCCATTGGCCGAGTCGAGAGGTAAAGGGTTGCAGTTGCCCTTCGTTCCCGGCCTTTTGCCGGGCCGAGACGCTGATAAGAAGGTTAACTAATAATAGCCCTGGCTAAGCCATTGATAGTCTTGTAGGTTTGTTATTACGGTCATTGCCGTGTCCGAGAGCCGTCTCGGAAGCTGATAGGCTATCACGTGTAGACCCACGTGGCCGATAGGACCCTTCTGGTACAATGTCTAAATAAAATGATAAGAATAATACATCATCTAATACTCTGTTAACATTTTATTACTCTCTGAACATAATATATATAAAATACACTTTTGATACCTAACAATTTCCCCGATTCATAATGATTTTAGACATGTGATTAGCTCTTAATAAATATCTCACACGTATCGCATTTCGTCAATTATGACATAAAGCATATTTTAATAAATATCATATGTAAAAACTAGAAAATATCATGAAGTTTTGGAAGAATTATGATCACTTTAATGTAAAAATAGCTAAATTACTACTCATACCTATAACTTCATGTTGGTCAAGAACAAAACACATATGACGAATATATTAAGAAAAAAAAAGAAGATAAAAGAATGATGACCCCGTGACAAATTTTATAGAAGACTCCCCCTCCTTCCTTAACCACTTGTTGATAAATCTTAAGTTATTGAATTTCAACGGATAAATTTATATAATTTATGTAAAATAATAATAATAATTATTATTATTATATACTTAATTTATCTTCTATTTATTTCCATCTCATTTTTTAAAACAATCTATTTTGTAGAAAACTTGAATTACGACACCAAGAGCTCGTTCACCTTCAGACCAAGAACTCAGAGCGAGCCACGCAATCCATGTTGTATTCTTGCTTTTACAAAAATCTTTCAAGTTAGTTGCATTTATATTATCACAAATAAAATTAGTTTTTAGTTTAATGAGTTGGGATACATATGACATGACTAAAAAATATAATATAAATATTTAATTTGTTAATCAGAATATTAATATCGTAAATAAAATTAGTTTCTATATATATATATATATATATAATTTAAAGATTTAAACAAAATCTTTTTTTTTCTTTCTCATTAGTTGTATGTTGTACACATAATTTATTTGGATATAAATTTAAAAATGTTTTTGAAAATCTTTTTACTAAAAATTATTCTTTAATTTTAATAAAGGTAAAAATATTCTTAACTTATATCCAAATTTCCTTTAAATGAATCATGTTGTCATGTAAATAAAAAAATATATCATACTATATTTTTAGAAAACGACAGCGTTAAAGGTAGTTTTTGATTCGATTTCATTTCCCTCAAGACAAGCAACGTAATATTCCTCGTGTCTGTCCCAAAGCATACACACTCACACACTCACACTCGAGCTTCATCTTCTTCACTCCGCAATCCAGAATCACGATCCCACACTCACTCGATACACCAAACGGAACCACATTGATTACTACCTTCCTCACTTGCCAATCTTTATGTTCCAATGCGCTTCTGAATCGTTAAGGAACCGAGAATAACAGCTTCTCGGTTCCTGGTCCCTCCTCTGTCGCAGGTTCATGAGAGAAGGAGACGATGGATGCTTCGTTTTTCGGTATTAAGCTCCGTGCTTCTTTGGAAGGTAACAACACTATCAAAACGGCTTTCCCGAGAAGCAGAAGTTGCACTGTTTCTGCAAAACATGGTTGTTACCCATTAAGGCAAGCTTTTAGATTTTATGGAAAAAATGTAGACTTGTTGAGGAAACACAATATTGGTGCAAGTGGGTCGAGGTTGAAGTGTTTCAAGGAAAAGGAACCACAACCACCCTTTTCTCTCAGTGTGAGTTATTTCATCAAAATGTGGAAAGAGGGGCTTCTTTTGATGAGGGCCTCTGTGTACTCTGTTGTTATCTCTGGTGTGTGTCTGTTGGTTTGGTTTGGAAGGAACAAAGCCAAGGGTTTTGTTGAAACTAATCTTCTGCCTTCAGTTTGTTCAGCGATCAGTGAGTATGTTCAGCGTGATGTTCGCTTTGGCAAGGTTGTAAGAATCTCGCCCTTGAGTGTAACGTTGGAGTCATGTTCATTTGGGCCACATGAAGAGGAATTTTCTTGTGGTGAGGCTCCCACTGTGAAGGTTCGTTTTCGCCCTCTTGCGAGTCTGTGGAGGGGGAAGTTTGTGTTTGATGCAGTTTTGTCGCATCCGTGTGTATTGGTAGTTCAGAAGAAGGACTATAGTTGGTTAGGGATACCGTCGTTTCAAGGGTGCAATCAGAGGTGCATGTCAAGTGAAGAAAGACTTGATCATCGCACTAGAGTGAGGAGGGTTGCGCGAGAGGCGGCGGCGGCTAAACATGTGAGAGAAAGGGATGATGCAGCTAGGGAAGCTGCAGAGATTGGTTACTTTGTTTCTGAGAAGAATTGTGGTCCATCCAAGGGTGATGATGGTTCAAAGGAAATTGCAAGTCATTCTTTGAGAGGAACAAATTCTAACTCATTTTTCTGCACGAATGAGGGGAAACATGGTCACCGTTGTGTGGAAACAGGTGTTGATTATGATATGAAACATGCTGACTTGGAGAAGTCATTTGGAGGGAATTTCCCTGCAAAAGGACTTAAGTTCTGGTCCAGAGTCATAAAAGGGCATAGAAAACAAAGATTTAAGAGGAAGGCTAAAAGGAGCGACATCAGTGCATCTGGTGTTGCTCTCAGAAAAAGAATTCTTGAACGCAGTGGATTTGCAGCAAATGCATACTTTCGCAGTCAATCACATGGGAAGTTTGAGCAGCCTTCGTCATCTTCTGGATGTTTTCATTCTAGAGATCAAGATATTCATTCGGTAAAAAGTGATGTTGACAAAAATGATGTACCTGTTGCCAGTGGTGATGATAATGGGAATGATGATAACCAAAATGAAACAGAATTAGATCTGGGAATCAGGTCTCCTACGCTAAATGAAAATATTAATGGTCATTCAAATGCTTTAAAAATTTTCAGTGATCTGCCTTCACAGACAAGGGAGAATAAAAATGAAAATTTACAATCTAGTGAGGATGTTGTAGAACATGCCAATGCTAATAGTAGTACAGAGAAAAAGGAGGAATTGGGACTTCATGTTGCACAAAGTCCAGCTGATGTTAGTGCAACTGGGGACCAAAGAGATTTGGTTTCTGTGAAGCCTAGGCATCAATTGGTAACATATTTTCAAGTTCAGTTTGAGGCCTTGATTACAAAATTTACCTTAACCTCGTTTTTTAGAAACATTGAGGGGTTGACATCTTTCTTCCTTTCTGGCCCCGTTGAAAAGTTGAAGTCTGAAATGGGTCTGAAAGTTAAAGATATTGTTGCAGAAAATGTAGATGGGGTGGATGTTCTGCAGTCTGAAGGCCCAACTAAGATTCTTCCAGTTACATTGGATTCTGTTCATTTTAGAGGTGCAACTGTGATGTTACTTGCATATGGTGACAGGGAAGTTAGGTGAGAGCTATCATAATTTATTAAGAAAGTGAAATGATCAACACACCTGTTTACAAGCTTATAATTTTAATATGATACAGGTGTTTGGAGAAGTTCTGTTAGTGCATGACAGTCAACTGGCAAATACTATTTGCTCTGTTATTTAACAATATGAATGTATGATAGTTGATTGATCTTCTAAAAGTGTGGCTTTATTTGGTGATCCATATTTATAGGAAGTTAACCTAGGTATTAGAAGAAAGCTAGGATTATGAATAACTGGTTATATTTGTCTGGTTGAAACCATCTGAATCCCTGGCATAGGATGCTCAAAACCCCTTAATCAATCTACTGTTGGGCTTTACATCTGGTTGCTTCTACATGCCTCTTTCTGGAATTAATTTAGATTTGCCTTTCCCTGTTTCTGTTATTCTCTGTGTGTGCATTTTGTGTACGGGGGTTATGCTTGTGCTTCTAGAAATGCAACTGAATATAACATAATTCAACTTTTTCTTATCTGATTGTCTCAAATACTCAAGATGTCATTGAACAATAATACACTATTCTAAATTTAATATTTAACATTTGTCAAGTAATGAAGTCCCAAGCTTGTTCTCACTTCTCACTACAACTTTTTGTGGGTGAATTTTATCTCATGTTGCTTCTTCAGCTTTGGCATATGTTCAAAGGAAGTATCTTATGGATTTCAGAAACTTTTTCAGTTCTAATTTCTAAAGTCTTGAAATAGTATCTGTAGCTGGGGTTTCTGTTTATTTAACTGCAAATTATCTTACTTAGATTGGACATAGGTTTTGCAGTATTAGAAACATTGTCATGTTATACCAGTTATGTTGGTATAACAAATTGTCTGACTGTTTTATCTTGTTATGTCACTTGTATCTTGATTGGATACATTAAAATGATGATGAATTTTTAATTTGTTAGAATTTTAGTTAATTAATCTTCATATTGTAGGATAAAAGGTGAGATGTGAACTTTTTTTAGTAGAATCTTTTTTGTTATTGATTCTAAACTTGTGGCTGGTAAGTTTAGTGAAGTTATAGTGGTTGTAAATATCGAAGAGATGGTTCTATATTGGAAATAGAAGTCCTATTGTTAAAACTATGATCTGCATCAATTTTAGTGTTCTCTATGTTTTGCATGTTTTACTTTCAGGGTAGTGGAGAATGCCAATGGCCATGTGAAGTTTCATAATCACTACAACCGTATAAATGTAAAAATGAGTGGAAATTGTAAGACTTGGAGGTCAGATGATATATATGAAGGTGATGGCTGGTTGTCTGTGAATGTTTTTGTTGACACTGTTGAGCAGAAATGGCATGCTAATTTGAAAATTGACCATCTTTTTGTCCCGGTATGATATATAGTAACTTGGAGTTTCAATATTTTGTCATCTTCCTATTTTTCCATTTATGTTTTATGGATGATTATGTAGTTTATGTCTGAGTTATGATCTATGCAGCTGTTTGAAAGGATCCTAGACATTCCAATTACATGGTCTAAAGGGAGGGCCAGTGGTGAGGTGCTTCTCTAACCGAAGTTTAGTTACATTCAAATTCCATTTGGAAGTGTTAAGTTGTTCTTAGTTTCAGTTGTGGTGAGATTTTATTTAGTGTTTGCTAAGTAATACTTGTCACTGATTTTGAGTGGTGCTATAAACCTAAAATCTGCCTCCTAAACCAGAACAATTAGTTTGAGTAATAACCTGAATAATGGCACTGTCAGTTGTTGTTCTTTCCCTAACAGCTTTTTTCTGTTTTTCTTCTCTCAACAACAGCAAAACTTGCTGGTTTAAATGGCATATTTTGATTTGCTTAGATCCTAGAAGATAGATTCCTTGTCATTAGATTGGAATTACAATTTACCACTGGTGAGGCCAACTAAAGCTTCAGTCCCTCATTGGATTGGAATTCCTTCCCTCATTTGTTTCTCAGATGCAACTACATTGTATATTATTCAATGTTGAACTCATGTTGTTTCATAAACACAAAACTGCTATATCTTTCGGCTTAGGTTGTGGAACTTTATGGATCTGATGTCACATCAAGTTCTTTCCACTTTTATAATTATCTTGGCAGTGGCATGCTGCTGCTTTCTAGTTATTCATGAGAATTGATATAACTTCACCTGTTTGATATATTGTTTCCTATATTTAGGTCCATTTGTGCATGTTAAATGGTGAATCTTTTCCTAATCTTCATGGACAGCTTGACGTAACAGGGTTGAACTTCCAACTGTCAGATGCTCCATCGTGTTTTTCTGTATGTATTATTTTCATCTGTATTAGGATGCCTTGTGCAATTCCTTTTTGGCACTTGAATTTTAGTTTGCAATATATCATTTATCCTTTTCAGAGGAAACTGAGCCATTACATATGCATTGTATTTTATATTTCTCAACAAAAATATGCTTCATATTCAAGGTAACGCATGACTAATGAGCTTTATATTCATTAGGTTCTTTATGAAATATTAGAAGCTCTGTTTATTAGTTAGATTCGTGAAATTGTTGTACCAAAAATAATACTGTATCGCTTTATTTTCTGACAAATAAGGATATCATTGTGATGTTTGGGAAGAAAATAACAATAATTGTATGGGCAATTGCCCTTTCTTGTTTGATGTGGTGCATTGAGTGGGAGTCTAAAATATGATTTATTTGGGAGAAGGGATCATGTTACTCTAAGAGTAATTCTTGGAAAAGTCACTTCCCTCAATAAAATTTAGTGTATATTAAAGTATATTATTCCAACTGTTGAATATTTTAACATCGACTCATTGATCATCCACACCAAACTTTAGATAAATTGAACATTTGTAGTTATGTAATCAAATAGTCAACATTTACTTGTATTTTTAAAAAGAATATTATACTTTGAATTGAATTTATTTAATGAAGTATTAAGTAGTTTTAAAATTTTATAAAAGTTTGTAAACTTGATCTACTCTATAAAAACTTTTACTTCAACATTTAATAAAATTTAACACATTCAAAGAATTATTGAAGGGAGTAATTTTACCAAGCATTATTCCTCTTTATTTGGAGGCAAAATATATTTAAAGGAATATTGAGCAGTCCATCTTTAAACAAGCCACTAAACAGAGAGAGTAGATTTAGTTTATATAGACCCAAGGAGTGTAGCAACAGCTTCTAACAGAAGGTACTGACATCTCTAACAAACTTAGACATTTTAATTACAACAGCTAGCAAGCAGAAAATAACAAGAAACGAGAAATATAAACTCATATACTACTGCTGTACACTTAATAAAAATAAGGAGTTAGACTATACTCCGATACACAGAAATTTGGAGACTATACTCCAATACACAGATATCTTTCATGGTTGAAATTGTGCATTTACTCTTTTTCTAAAATTGACTTGTGGAGGAGATTTCTGCAATGAATTTGTATTGCTAGGCCAGGCTTTAGTTTTTCAACCAATGTTCCAGATTTTTTGGTTTACATGAAAGTAGCCTCTGATTTCATGTTTTCTTTTTCTTTCATCTAAATTTTATGCTCAATCAATATACATAATTCACTCTTCCTTGGTACTTTGATAGGTTATGTCTTTGTTGACTTGTAGGTTGTTCTTAGAATGTGGGTTTAAGGGCCTAATTCAACCTTTTAAAAATGGCTTATAAAATGAGGATTATTTTCCATTTGTATACACTATTACAACTATCTCACTAGTCGATGTGGAATCTCTAATGCACTCCCCTCACACCAAAAGCTGGGCATCTCGAGCATGAAATTTACAAGACTGGATATTTGCAGGTGGTTTGAGAAGGTCTCAATAGTGGTTGGCCTGATAGGCCCAACAAAAATCGCAAGAATAGGCTTTGATACTATATTAGAATGTGAGTTTGAACCTAACTCAATCCTACAAATCCAACTTGTAAGGTGAAGGTTGCCCCCCCACTTATATACTCTATGCTGCCTTATCTCTAGTCAATTTGAAACTTGGATTTTTTCCAATACGCTCCTCACGCTCAACACTTTTGGGCTTGATGCTTGAATAAACAGCGGATGACCCTTTTTTAAATGATATAGGATAGTTGGGGCTTAGATTTTTCCCGATATACTCTCACGTCTAACATTATTGTGCTTGGTGCGTTTATCAGTGGTGAGTGACATTTTTTTAATGGACTTATGATAACTTTGATACTATAAAATGTGAGTTTAATGGCTGAGCTCAACCTTATAAAATCAACTTTTAAAGTGAGGATTACTATCTATTTATATACACTATTATGGTCATCTTAATAGTTGATGTGGGAACTCCAACTATTGTATTATCCATGCTTGGGCAGAGTACTTGTTTTGGTATCAATCTTCTGTTTCAGGTTTACACCAATCATATTTTCAAGACCTGAGAGTTTGGCACAACCCCTTCCTTGTAGTTTTTATTTTAGTTGTTTCTGCTAATGAGTAATGAGTATTGAGTAACAACTGCATACTAGTAACTGTTGATGACTACTGAATATTGGGTCTCACATCAAGTGCTTAGGCTTATTGATCAGCAACCATACTAAATATTTCTGTTGTTGGCGCACTTGAAATTAAAAGATGTTCTCCTCTCTTATTTTTGTACTTTGTGTGCTTAATCGTGCAGAACATATCTGGAAATTTATGTTTTCGTGGTCAAACAATAGTTTTACACAATGCAAGTGGCTGGTTTGGCAGCATTCCTCTAGAAGCATCAGGAGATTTTGGCATTAATCCTGAGGAAGGAGAATTTCATCTTCTGTGTCAGGTAATTATTTAATTATTTATGTGTGTGCTGGTGTACGAAATTATTTATTTATTTTGATAGAAGTTAGCAGGGTTACTTGTAGTGGGCTTGGGTTTGTACAAGGGCTTGACCTGATTAGTAGTATAAATAGTTGCATTAGGTTATGGTACAGGTGTTAGTAACATTTCTAATACATTGTTGTCCATCATTTTTTAAGGAAAGATCGTTATTATTTTTTTCACCTGCCCTAATACTTTGTTGACCAATTTTCCAGGTTCCGAGTGTTGAAGTGAATGCTTTGATGAGAACTTTCAATATGAGATCTCTCTTGTTTCCAGTATGTTTTCCTGAGTTCAATGCATTAACTTTTTACAGTTTTTGAGTAAACTGATCATTTCCATCTTTATATATCTTTTTTCTTTCTGTATCTTGCAATTTTAAAATTTGCAAATATCAGCATTAAAGTTTTATGCAAGTTTAGCTAATGGTCATTTATAAAGTTTTTTCATTTTGCTTCATTCTTTCCTTGTTATCTTTAAATTGTGGTACCACTGTACCATCATTTCTTGATTCTTTTTATACTTGATAGCTAGTAAGTGAGATTTAGATAAAATTTTGGTTAGATTTTCCAAAATTTTGAGAAGCTATATATGACTTATCATAAAATTTATGTAGATTTTCAAAATTAGAGACATGACAAATGCCCGAGGTCAATTTCAACCTTGTTTCCTAAAAAAGTAATATGTTAAATTACAATTTTGGTCCCTACAACTATCTTGTTTTTTGTTATAGTCCTTTTGAATTTAGACGGGACCTAACTCAATCCTAAGAGCTAGCCCACGAGGTGAGAATTGACTTAACCTTTATATGTTCTACTTTAGTCATATTTATAGTCGATGTGAGATCTCAATAAGTCCCTTCATGAAAAACCCTACATTTTGATCCCTATTTGAAAAAAGAAAAAAATTACGAAGTTGATCCCCACCATTCTTTAAAGTTATAATGGCATTAGAGTATTCTTCAGTGTAAGGATCCAAATGAACAATGGGATGTCAATTGTAGGGACCAAAACAGAGAGTTTCTTACATGCCGGGACCAAAATGGAGTGCGGTTTTTTATTTTATTTTACTTTTTCTATATAGGGATTAACATTAAAATTTGTGTCAAGTATAGGCCCCAAATTAGCACTTCTATAATTTCAATGAACAGGGATTGGTTCATAAATGTTTTTCCTTATAGGAGCCAAAATGCAAGTTTTTTTAAGCAGGGTCTAGAACAAAAAACAAAATGTTAAGTGTAAAGATCAAATTTATAATGTAACCAAAGTAACATTAACTTACCCGATATCAAGTCCTTGTATTTTTTTTTTCATAACTAAAGTTTATTAATTGCAGCTAGCAGGATCAATAACTTCCCTGTTTAATTGTCAAGGCCCACTGCATACTCCTATATTTGTGGGAACTGGAATGGTTTCTAGGTCATTCTCTTCTTTGAAAGCTGATTCTCCTACAACTGTAGCATCTGAAGCACTTGCTAAAAGTAAGGAGGCTGGAGCATTGGCAGCATTTGACCGCGTACCTTTATCGCACGTATCTGCCAATTTCACTTTCAACACTGATAACTGTGTAAGTTGAAAGTGGTAATAATTTTGAACACAGTGGTTCAGGGTAGTGACTAAATCGTTTATATTTGGTAACACTTCCACTGCATAGCACAGATTGCTGATTTGTATGGAATTAGGGCGAGCCTTGTGGATGGTGGTGAAATTCGAGGGTCTGGGACTGTATGGATATGCTCAGAGGTATAATGCTACTTAGAAAGAATGGATTTTTTCTTCTTCTTGGGCGTGAGATAGCATGGTTTTAAATAGTTAGCACTTTTTTTCCTGGTTTTCTAAAATACATAGAAGTGTTACCATTGTCATGCAATGTTGGATATCATTTTTGTGCACTTTACGATGTGTTATTTATTTATTTATGAGGGATTGGGGGTGGGGGGGACATCTTGGAAGCTTTGACAGAGTCATGTAATGTTGCCACCATTATACGCACTCATTTTATGACTGTTTTTCAGGTAGGGAAGGGATTTTATTAATAAATTATTTGCATTTTCTGTCTCCTGTTTGCTAAGGGTACTAATTTATTCTTTCTCATTCACTTAAAATATCTTCTGTAATCCATATGAAACAGTCAATCAGAATGTGAATATCTTTTCCCATGGGTATGCCTTTGCACCATTTTTCTCTACAGTTTGTCCCTCACTCATGCTAATGTATTATATTTTGTTCTCAGGCTGAGGATGATGAGACAGCAATAGATGCAAGCTTCTCTGGAAGTTTGGCCTTTGAAAAAATTATGTGTCACTATATTCCCAGTTATCATCGTTTGATGCCACTCAAATTTGGAGTTTTAAATAAAAACACAAAACTTTCCGGATCTCTTTTTAGACCGTAAGATTATGCCTTTTTCAGTTTTGATTAGTTTTATTGATTAAGATTCAGTAATATTGTTTCTTATTATACATTTATATTACCAAACATTTCTCTACTTCCTGACCATGGATATCTCTTGTAAAGTTGGCTTGTGCTAACTTGTTATACTTCTTTCCTGTTTAAATGTGAGTAGTTTTATCATTCTTCTTATCACAGGAGGTTTGATATAAAATGGACTGCACGGACAGAAGAAGGGTCTTTTACTGATGCTAGAGGAGATATCATAATCTCACATGATTTCATTACGGTTAATTGCGCTTCAGCTGAATTTGATTTGTATACGAAAGTTCAAACATCTTATTCTGATGATTTTTCTCTTAAAAGAGTAGAGTTTTATGCACCGAGAGCCATTACATTTACTGTTGATGGAGTTGAGTTTGATTTGCACATGCGTGAATTTGAATTCTTTAGTTTGGTTACTACTTATACATTCGATTTTCCAAGACCTTTGGTTTTGAAAGCAACTGGAAGAATCAAGTTTCAGGGAAAGGTTTTAAAACCTAGTACCACTACTATTGAGCAAAATTTTGACAAGAACAAGCAGCATGTTCAAATGTTGGAGAAAGGAGGTGTAGATAGTCTTGTTGGCAAGGTTTCAATCTCTGGTCTCAAACTGAATCAATTGATGCTCGCTCCTCAATTGTCTGGGTTGTTGAGCGTTTCTCCTGAGTGTATCAAGGTGATGACTAAAATTTCTCTTCCTAAAAAATGTTTCATGTTGAGATATGAATATAACTAACTGCTTGGGAGTATCACATTGTAGTAGTAGTATAATCATGGACAGATTTTTTTTTTGTTGGGTGGGAGGATTTTTTTTTGTTGGGTGGGAGGGGGGGGGGCGACAAAATCATGGCCTAGGATTCTACTAAAGAGATTTGCTTTAGAATTACATAATTATGGGTGGGATGGGAGGAAGAAGTTCCCGGTAAAACTATTTTAAATGCATGAGCAGTTAATTGGCTAATGGCTTATATGTTGAAAGTACAGTTAATGAGTAACTTGTTGTAGTTGTGGGATTAATTCACTAATTGAATGGTTAATTGTTCCTTAGTACTAGCAACATTTTTGCCAAGAATTCCTTTTCAAAATATCCGTTGAATATCATATTTGATATTTTAATGGTTGAAATCTCTAGATGTATTCCCATATAGTGAATATATGATTCACGTACTCCTTCCAACTAAAATCATTTTCAGGATGTTTCCTAAAGTTGATTTATGTGCAAAGTGTTAAAGTTCATACATAGATAGCATTTTATTGAATCAGATTTTTATTTCAAAAATAAAAATTGAAAAGGTTGGATCTGGTCTTCATGATGAAACTCTTCTTGAGTATGAATGGGCTCTTCAGTCGTAGAACCTTGTGAACTGTTTATGCTGCTTCTGCTTTCCAATTTATGTAGACCTTGCTTTGCTTATGATTTTTGTCCCTTGGTAAAGAAAAGTGATTGATATCAACAGAGTTTTAAGTCAAGGTCAACTCATCCGCATGTGAATTGTCTTACGTGTTCATATTTCTCCTTTGTACAATATATTATTAATATTTTGTTCCAAAAGGAATTCCCCCCTAGTTTCCATATTTCAAATATTGTCATTTTATGAAAGGTAGATATCTTTATGTCCTGCATGTTTTGGACATCCTTTATGAGAAACAATTTCAGATTGTTTGGCTTTGTTCTATATATATTGATTTTTCTAACTCCCATTCTTTATTGGAGTGTAGTTGAATGCCTCTGGTAGGTCTGATGAAAGTCTTGTGATGAATTTTGTGGGGCCACTACAGCTTAGTGGTGAAACTGGTATGAAAAGTGGACAAGTGTTGTCCATTTCCCTTCAGAAGGGGAAGTTGAGGGCTAATGTGAATTTTCAACCAGGTCATTCAACAACTAGCTTGGAGGTACTTATATTTAAATATTAGGTCCAATGTTTGAATCCAGATCTGTTTGTTTCTCTGCTGGCATATTTTTCAGCACTCTATATCCACCAAAGGTTAATGTTGAAAGTCATTGTTTTCCTTTTTCTTGCTTTTGTGGGTTGTACTTGTAGGTATGGCATTTTCCAATTGATGAACTGGAGCTTGCTTCCCTCAGGGGAACTATACAGAGAGTAAGCCATAATATTATTTATTTGACTTCATGATTCTTTATCATTCTTGTCCTTTGCAGTACCCTCCTATGTATGTTTTGATATAATGAATTTGACCCAATCTTTTCAGGGAGATTAGACATTTTCAATATTTTTTCTGCTTGAGTAAGTCATCTTGAGGTTTGACCCTAGTTTGTTGTTTAGAGAGTAAATGTAAGAGGGCTTTGTGGACAAGAAATAATTATCAGTTCTTGATAACCATATCTAAATCTTAAACTGCTAGGAGAAGATCAAGCAATGTTATTTGTAGTTAATATCTCCATCATACCTGCTTGTGTAAAAGCCCTTTGAGTTTAAAGGATGTACACAAAACAGTAGGTTCTAATCAGTGTTAAGGACCAGCATTCCTAAAGCTCAAGTTATTTGGGGAAAGTCCAGAATATTTTTATTAATATGAGAGGATGTACCTGTGATGGTGGTGAAAAAGGATATTCTTTTATTTAATAATATAAGAACACGACAGATTTTCTTTTTTATATTAGAAAGATGACATATAAAGCATAATTATAAAAATAGTTTTAAAATAAAATTCCTTAAAAATTAGGGAGTGTATCTAAGATGGGCTTGGTGGTTACTTTAAAATGGTGACTTTATCCTGTTTTTAATTACAATAAAAATCATACTCTGGATTTTTTGGGAAAAGAAAAGTGGACACCAAATGAAGAATCCCTTTCTTTAGTAGTATAGATACTTGTTAAATAAGACATAGCAAAGATGCACATAAATGATAGATGGTCAGCCTATAGCATAAAACTTAGAGGACAATAATTCTAATATGCAAATTTTGACGTTTCTATAAGATTTGTTGCTTTCTACCTCTTCATTTCTCCCTTTTTCTTTTCAGTCCTACCTGAATGATGACTTTGTCTGGGTATTATTTAACAGCTATGTAATGAAAATAATATATGATATTTTTCAGCTGATTTTTTTTTGTTCCAGGCAGAAATCCAGCATAATCTTCAAAAAAGAAGAGGACATGGAATCTTATCTGTACTTCGGCCAAAGTTCAGTGGAGTGCTTGGTGAAGTCCTTGATGTGGCTGCTAGGTGGAGTGGAGATGTTGTGAGTGCCTAAGTTCATTATTTTATGTATAGAAGAGAAAGCAAGAGACATGACTGAATCTGTGTGTCAATGACTCAATGTTCACAAGTGTATTATTTTATTATATAGCATGCATCATAATTATAGAGAAAATAATTACCTAATTACTATAATTATGTAAATCCTAGAATTTCCTAATTACAATAATTAAGGATATCTAACAATATCCAACATTTCCATAGCTACGATAATTAAATATATCTACAATATCTAACACTCTTCTTCAAGTTGGAACATATAAATCATATGCACCAAGCATATTATATTGTAATGCAAATAACACTGTTTGATGAATCCTCGTTTTGTCATAGTAATAAGTAATGACATTATGTTGTGATTATGTTGCACTGATAAAAACTGCTTTGGAACTGCACATGATGTTATGCATGTTACTGATTGTCTGTTGATGTTCTATTGTTCAGATCACTATTGAGAAAACTGTTTTGGAACAAAGCCACAGTTATTATGAAATTCAAGGTGAATATGTACTACCTGGCACCCGAGATCATAACCCTATTGGCATGAAAGGGGATGAATTTTTAAAAAGATTCTTGTCTGGGCATCTTGGTAGTGTTATATCCTCAATGGGCAGGTGGAGAATGAAACTTGAAGTTCGCAGAGCTGAGGTTGCTGAGATGCTTCCTCTTGCAAGGCTTCTTTCTCGAAGTATGGATCCTGCTGTCCTTTCAAGATCGAAGGTTGTATTATGCTTTATATGTCATTAATCGTTAGATTTTAAATCGGTTGATTTAGATGCCTTGCTAAGGATTCTATCTTTGTAACATGTGAGTTGGTTCAGGAGTCTAGTCTAGTCACATGATTTATCTGGTGTTATTGAAAACCATAGAATATCATCTCTTTTCCTTTTAAGGTTTCACGTTTATTTGAATGTACTTTGGCTTCCCTGCCCGAACCCACACCAAAAGAATTTTTTTGCCCTAAAAAAGGTAGATATAAGATACCGGAAGTTAAGTTCAATTTTAGGTTCTTCATGCTTGTGACTTGTTTGCTTTTCTTCTGGATTGAGTTCAAATCAAGTACAAATTTGGCAGTTGTTGAAAGTTTTAAATCCTACCATTGAACTTTTTGCTCGATCTAATAATAAAAATATCACTCTTGATTAAAAAATGAATATACAATTATACATAACAAATCATATTCTATCTGACTTTTGTACCAAATTGAAGTTTTATAACCGGTTAAATAACTTCTTTGTAATATAAAAAGAATATTTGTACCCTACGAAGCTTAAATTAGACTGATTTCACCTTGATTTTCTATCAATTTTAAGCATTAAATCTTAAAAATTTAGTGTCAAACTCTAGCTTCTAAAAGGCTTTAGGACAGTGAAACTGAGCTGTATTAGGGGGGTTAGTTCATTTCAATTCATATTTAGGAAGTTGTATGATATGATAATTTTTTTAAATAAGATGTAAGAAAAGTTTAGGGGAAACTATTACAAAAAAAAAGAAAAAAAAACTTGCTCTAAATAGTTATGCTGAAAATTTAGTTTTTGATAGAGCCCACTAGCATTAAGTGTTGCCATGTAGACAACCTTATTGAATGGTATGAGGCGTGGTTATTATTGTTGTTACTGATGCATTAATGTTGCCAATACTTTTTAGTTAATGTTGTCTGCCAGTAGCTTACCCCATCCAGTTGGGATAAGGCTTCATTGTTGTTGCATTACTTGAAGTATAAGGACTAAAAATGTCTATTTTAAACTATAAGAATTAAAAGATAAGTGAAATTCTATAGGGGCTAAAAATGTTTTTTAACCTTAAATTTATTAACCTTACTGGACTTGCTGAAATTAAACTTGTAATTAAGAAAATACATTATACCTAATTCAACTTGGGCAACAAGAATATATTATAGGGTTGATGAATATGAATATTTAAACATTATATCACTGTGATTCTATTTCAAATCAGCTCTGTTTTGTGTGAGTTATAATTGTAAATTAGTAGAACATTCAAGTTTCAATTACATATTTGACATAATTTTTTCCTGTAATTGTCTGATATATGTTTGCACTTTGCAGTTATGTATCTGCTGGATATTTTAATGATTTTCAGTTGTTTATTATCATATATAAACCTTGAGAAAAAGATAATACTGTAATTTTGTTACCTTAAAACCTATGGGTCATCCTGTATATTTATTTTTTTTAAGAAATGAGTACTAATTATTCATGTCATCATGTCACCTGTAGGATTTTTTTATTCAAAGTTTGCAGTCAAAGGGATTATATTCTTCGAGCACCCAACAACTGCTTGAGGTATCATCAAGCAATCGTTATATTTTACTTTCCTTTCAATAAGGCACAATACTTGATATGTTTGAGTTTGTGCTCACGGCATGAAGTGGGCATGTAATGTTTATTTATTAAGGAAAAAACTCATATGCAGTTCTTTAGGTGCTTTTGATGGTGTTCTCTAATTAAAATTGGAATTTCATCTCAATAATCTGCGTAATGAATGTTTGCATTAAATTTCAACATATATTACCAAGATTAAACCCTAATTTTAATTGAAGAATAACACTAAAAACACTTATGAAATTGTATCAGTTTTGTCCATTTATTAATTCATAATATTCATGATCCAAGTGATATTCACTGCAAAAATTGAAGTTTCTTTGTTTGTCATTAATGATATGATATTCAACTTGCAGTTAATAAGGGGGCATCATGTTCCGTCAAATGATGTTCTTGAAGATTTGAGCCTTCCTGGTTTACTTGAACTTAAAGGTCACTGGCATGGCTCTCTCAATGCCAGTGGTGGAGGGAATGGAGACACCCTGGTAAAATTTTATTGTTGTTTGCATTATTGGGAGTTAGCTTATGTCATCTACTTTTTTAAGATTGGCTTTCTATTTGATTCCATTTCAGGCAGAATTTGACTTACATGGGGAGGATTGGGAGTTGGGGGAACACAAAACTCAGCGTATCTTGGCACTTGGTACTTGTAGTAATGATGATGGTCTGCACCTGAAGAAGTTTTTTATCCAGAAGGATAATGCCACAATTCATGCTGATGGAACTTTGTTAGGACCTAAAACCAACCTTCATTTTTCTGTCCTAAATTTTCCTGTTGGTCTGATCCCAACAGTAGTTCAGATCATCAACTCTACAGCAACGGATGTTGTTCATTATATGCGGCAATTGTTAGCACCCATTAGGGGGATCTTGCATATGGAAGGAGATCTTAGAGGAAGTTTAGAAAAACCAGAATGTAATGCTCAAATAAGGCTCCTTGATTGTGCCATTGGTGGAATTGTTCTTGAACGAGCAGAAGTTGCTGCCTCTCTAACCTCAACTAGTCGTTTTCTATTCAATGCGAAATTCGAACCTTTTATCCAGCATGGTCATGTACTAATTCAAGGAGCTATTCCAGTTACTTCTTTTCGAAGTAACATGTTACAGCGAGATGTAGAATTAGATGAGAGTTGGGCTACTTGGGTTCCTGAATGGGTGAAAAAGAACAAAGGGACCACCAATGATTCTAGAGACAAAAAAGTTTATAGACACAGAAATAAAGAAGGTTGGAATACTCAATTAGCGGAGAGCCTTAAAGGTTTAAATTGGCAAATTTTAGATGTTAGAGAAGTCAGGGTTGATGTTGACATAAAAGATGGGGGAATGATGCTGGTAACAGCTTTATTTCCTTATGCCAAGTGGCTTCATGGCAATGCTGATATCATGCTCGAGGTGAGTGAGGTCAATAAAATTTTATCAAATGATTATTTTTTACTCTTCTAAAGTATTGTCATATGGATTGACTTAACAGGTCCGAGGTACAGTTGATCAACCACTTCTTAATGGATATGCATCATTCCATAGAGCCTCTATATCCTCACCTGTGTTCCGAAATCCACTGACCAACTTTGGTGGAACTGTGCACATGAAATCAAACAGGTTATCCATTGCTTCACTGGAAAGTAGGCTAGGCAGAAAAGGAAAGCTGCTTGTTAAAGGGAACCTTCCTCTCAGAACTAAGGAAGTAGACCTCAGTGACAAGATTGAATTTAAGTGTGAAGTTCTAGAAGTGCAGGCAAAAAATATTTTAAGGTTGCTTTTTTAACTTCTGGCACGAGGGTTCTATGTTATGTCTTGACTTATTGAAGGATGTATGTAGTTGATGTGATCATTAAATCTCAAATATGATTGACTTTTGACTATGTAACTTTTATTTGCCTTACATAATTCTTATTTAAAAATATCCTACTTTTGTCAGTGGCCAAGTCAACTCCCAGGTGCAAATAACTAGTTCCGTATTGCAACCTAACATTTCCGGAAATATTAAACTTAGTCATGGAGAAGTATATTTGCCGCATAATAAGGGTGGTGCTTCTTCTAATAGATTCCCATCATATCAGTCTGCACTTCCTGATGAATCATTTGCTTCAAGATATATTTCACAGTATTTTGGCTCAGAATCGGCATCTCTGATGACCAAAATTTCCCAATCCTCTGGCTCTGGTAATACTTTTCATGTTCATTGGTTTAGCATGTGGTCTCCCATTTCCTTATAATAATGCTCTATAATCCGAATGACTAGCTTATTTTTGTAAATGTGTCACTCTCACGTCCCTTATTATAACTATTAATTGACTCTGTCACATTATCAAATAATTGCTAATAACTCGTGACAATTTGAATGCTTCATCTATACATGTGCTAATGTTTATTTGAAGAATTAGATGAGTTCAGTGTGTTATATTTTTAAGAATGGTTATTTTTGTTTGGTATATGATGATATTTTCCTTTAAAAAAAACACACATGGCAGTCAATGAGTCAATTCAAGTGGAAAAGGATATGGAGGAAGCGCAGATAAAACCAAATATTGGAATCTGCCTTAGTGATTTGAAGCTTGTGCTTGGACCAGAGTTGAAGATAGTTTATCCTTGGATTCTTAATTTTGCTGTTAGTGGAGAGCTTGAGTTGAATGGTCTTGCCCATCCCAAATGTATAAAACCTAGAGGCATACTAGCATTTGAGAATGGCGAAGTTGATCTAGTTGCAACCCAGGTTTGTGTGATGTTCTATTTTGCAACACATGTGAACAGTAACCTGCAGTTTATTCTCAGCTAGATTTGGTTTGGTTTGGTCCCTAAATTTATGTGTTGGTTATTTTATTGAAGGAAAGGTTGAGAGAGTGGAACAGAGAAAATTGAGTGTGGAACAGAGGAATATGAAACTGCATGTATTTTATTGAAGAGTGCAATTGCTTTTATAAAGCACATAAGTGAACGTAAATGTACGTAAATGTAGGCCACTATAACCACTAACAAACTAGTGCTCTTAGTGCCTAGAAAATAGCAAATAAATCCTACTAGTCAACATGACTTTTATTTTCCTAAAAAATAGCATAACATATAATTTAAATTTTTTTTTTTAATTTCCAATAGTCATCAATCAACACTCCTCCTTGACTTTGGAACTGCAAACTCCAAGCTTTTGTCTCAAGAACTCAAATCTAGATTTTGGAAGTGCCTTGGTTAGGATATCAGCCACTTGATCTTCTGATTTGCAGTAAACTAGTTTCACTTGTCCTTCTCTTTGAACTTCTCTTAAAAAGAAAAGTTTTATCTTGAAATGCTTTGTTTTGCCATGAAAAACTGGATTATTGGCAATTGAAATTGCAGCTTGATTATCCACAAAAATCTTTGTGCTGTCTTCTTGTTCTATGTGTAAATCAGCCATGATCTTCCTTATCCAGACAGTTTGATTTACAGCAGCTGCAGCAGCAACATACTCTGCTTCTGCTGTTGATTGGGCTATAATTTCTTGCTTTTTGGAACACCATGAAAAAACTCCAGAACCAAGTGAGAAACAATAACCAGAAGTGCTTCTCATATCATCAACACATCCTGCCCAATCACTATCTGAATAACCATGAAAACTTAAGCTTTCAACTTTCTTGAACCATACACCATAATCAATTGTGCCTTTAACATATCTAAGAATTCTTTTTGCTGCTTGAAAATGAATTTCACTAGCACAATGCATGTACCTTGATAACAAACTCACTGAATGCATGATATCTGGTCTGGTGGCAGTTAAATACATTAAGCATCCAATTAAGGATCTAAACAGCTTTTCATCAACCTTTTCAGCACCATCTTCTCTGCAGAACTTTTCTTTTTGGTTCATTGGAGTTGCAGCTGACTTACACTCTCCCATGTTGAACTTCATAAGCACTTCCTTTGCATACTTTTCTTGGCACACAAATATTTCATTTTTCTTTTGTTGCACTTGCATACCAAGAAAAAATGTCATCTTTCCAAGGTCTGTCATTTCGAAGACATTTTCCATTTCTTCTTTAAACTTGTCAATCATCTCCTTACAATTTCCTGTAACAAATAAGTCATCAACATACAGAGATATCATAAGTATATCTTCATTCACCTTTTTAATATATAAGGTGTACTCACTCAGACTTTTCACAAAGCCTAAGCTCATTAAATGTGCATCAATTCTGCTATACCAAGACCTTGGTGCTTGTTTCAGACCATATAATGCCTTTTTCAGTAGATAAACCTTGTCTTCTTGTCCTTGAAGAGCAAAACCTTCTGGCTGTTCCACAAAAATTTCTTCCTCCAAATATCCATTCAAAAATGCTGATTTTACATCCAATTGATGTATAAGCCAGCCCTTTTGTGCAGCTAGTGCTAGCAGCAACCTTATTGTGTCTAGCCTGGCAACTGGGGCAAATGTTTCAGAGAAATCCACCCCAAACATCTGAGCATATCCCTTGACAACAAGTCTTGCCTTGTACTTGTTCACAGAACCATCAGGATTGAACTTGGTTCTATAAACCCACTTTACTCCAATGGCCTTCTTATGACTAGGTCTATCCACCAACTGCCATGTCTGATTTTTTTCAATCATTTTGAGCTCCTCTTCCATAGCATTTATCCACTTTTTGTCAGTTGCAGCCTCTTCATATCCACCAGGTTCCATGACAGCAACATTACACCTTTGATAGATGTCAGAAAGCAATCTTGTTCCTCTGACAGGTTCATCATCCACATCTTCATTCTCCTCCTGCAATCCAAGCTCATTGTTGCCTTTCCAGTCCAAACAATCAATTTGTTCAAGGAATTTGTTGTCTTTCCAGCTCCAACAGTCAAACTCCAAGAATTTCACATCCCTGCTAACAATGACTTTGTTTTTGTGTGGAAGATAGATCCTGTAGGCCTTTGAAATCAAGCTATAGCCTACAAAAATTCCAGGTTCTGCTTTCTTGTCCAATTTGTCTCTCTTAATATGAGGAATATAAGAGAAACACAAGCAACCAAATATCTTTAAATTAAAGAGCTCAGGTTTGTAACCGTACCATGCTTCAAAAGGTGTTTTCTGTTGTAAAGCTTTTGTTGGCAGTCTATTGAGTAAAAACACTGCAGTATTTACAGCCTCTGCCCAGAATTTTTTAGGCAAATCTTTGTCATGAAGTAAGCACCTAGCCATCTCCATAATAGTCCGATTTTTCCTTTCTGCGGTGCCATTTTGCTGAGGTGAATAAGGGGCTGTAAGCTGGTGTTCTACACCTGTATCTTCACAAAACTTGTTAAATTTTTTGGAAGTATATTCAGTTCCATTGTCGGATCTGATCATCTGCATTTTGCACTTGCTTTGATTTTCCACCAAAGTTTTAAACTTCCAAAAAATGTCAGCAACTTCATATTTAAACTTCATAAAATATATCCAACACATTCTTGTCATGTCATCAATGAAAATAATATAATACCTACTGCCATTCAATGATGGTGTGCTCATAGGACCTCCAACATCTGTATGTATCAATTGTAGATTTTGTATAGCCCTCCAAGTCTTGTTTTGTGGAAATGGGAGTCTTGTTTGCTTTCCATACTGACAGGCAATGCATGTAGGAGATTCTTCTTCAATATCAGATAAGCCTCTGACCATGTTATTCTTCTTCATGAATATTAGAGCACTGTGGTGAAAATGGCCCAATCTTTTATGCCAAAGTATTGTATTGCTGACCTCTTTGTGCACTGCAGCATGTTCTTCACTCATGAAGTCCAAAGCAAAGCTTTTTCCTTTCATTCTGACTTTAAATACTTCCTTGCCTGCTGAATCTTTGATTATGCAGTTTTTATCTTCAAACAACACCTTATAACCTTTTTCAAGCAATTGAGGAACACTCAACAGGTTTTGGTTAATTTCTGGAACATATAAGACATCTGAAATTAGTTTCAAACCTGTTTGACCTTCAATTGCCACTGTTCCTTTGCCTTTTACTGCAATATATGCTCCATTACCCACTCTGACTTTAGAAAGTGCAGTTTTGTCAAGTTCTTTAAAGAGCTCTCGATCATAACTCATATGATTTGTGCAACCACTGTCTATGAGCCAACTTTCGGTGGAGCTATTGGCAGCAAAGCATGTAACAGCAAACAATTGTTCCTCTTGTGATTGATCCTCAGCAACCTTAACTTCTCCTTGTTGTTGATGAGATTTGCAAATCTTTTCCATGTGTCCCAGCTGCCCACACTTATGACACTTTACATCTGGTCTCCACCAACACCTTTTTTGTGGATGATTGGTTTTCTTACAATGAGGACAAGGTGGAAAAACCTGAGTATTACTACTCGTGTTGTTGATCTTGTTTAATCTTCCAGGTCTGGTATCATTGTTCTGCTTCTTCTTCTGTTTGTTGCCATTGCTCTGGAATTTGACTTGAAAAGCACCCTCCACAGATCCTTCTTGCCTCATAAGTCTTCTTTGCTCTTGGGCCTGTAAGGCATGCATCACCTCTGCCAAAGTGATCTTAGATAGATCCTTTGTGTTCTCCAAGGTAGCTATAGAAGCTTCATATCTCTCTGGTACTGATACAAGAATTTTTTCAACAATTCTTGAATCAGAAAAAGCTGTGCCCAGCAATCGTACTTTGTTGGCAATGCCAAGCAACGTATTTGAGTACTCTTTTATGGTGTCTGATTCTTTCATTCGCTGCAGCTCAAATTCTCTCATTAAATTCAATACTTGCATGCTTCTAATCCTCTCATCTCCTGCATATTCTTCCTTCAAGTAATCCCAAATTGCTTTTGCTGTGTTGTGAGACATGATCCTGGTGAAAATTATTTTTGAAACACCAGAAAATAAACATGCCTTTGCCTTTGCTTTCCTGGTTTTTTTTTCCTTGTGGGTTTTCATCTGGGTTATAGTGGGGTTGTCGGGCAGCGGAGCAATTTCGTAATCCTCCTCCACTGCTTCCCAAAGATCCAAAGCCTCTAGGAAGTTCTGCATTTTTATGGCTTCACTCCGCAATCCAGAATCACGATCCCACACTCACTCGATACACCAAACGGAACCACATTGATTACTACCTTCCTCACTTGCCAATCTTTATGTTCCAATGCGCTTCTGAATCGTTAAGGAACCGAGAATAACAGCTTCTCGGTTCCTGGTCCCTCCTCTGTCGCAGGTTCATGAGAGAAGGAGACGATGGATGCTTCGTTTTTCGGTATTAAGCTCCGTGCTTCTTTGGAAGGTAACAACACTATCAAAACGGCTTTCCCGAGAAGCAGAAGTTGCACTGTTTCTGCAAAACATGGTTGTTACCCATTAAGGCAAGCTTTTAGATTTTATGGAAAAAATGTAGACTTGTTGAGGAAACACAATATTGGTGCAAGTGGGTCGAGGTTGAAGTGTTTCAAGGAAAAGGAACCACAACCACCCTTTTCTCTCAGTGTGAGTTATTTCATCAAAATGTGGAAAGAGGGGCTTCTTTTGATGAGGGTATGACACCATAGTTTTTGTTGATAAAATTCATTTTAAATGCAGGTGAGGTTAAAGCGGGAGCATCTCAATATTGCAAGGTTTGAGCCTGACTATGGACTGGATCCAATGCTTGATTTAACCTTGGTTGGATTTGAGAGGCAATATCGAATTCAACGTCGAGCTAGCAATTGGCAGGACTTCGTAGAACAGGATACATTGTCACCAATTGAGGTAAATGACACTGCTCATCATTATCTTGCTTGATCAATCTGGAGCTCTAAACTTTAGTGCTGTGATCAACTTGTAATGTGTTGTCATTGTCAAACACAACACAAATAAGGAGCATAAAATATGCTCATCTTTTTGAGATATTACACTGACCCTGCAAATTTCAGTGTCATTTTGATTTACCAAAGAGAAAACATGCAGCTTACACTTACCCTGCAAGTTTCAGTGTCATTTTGATCTACCAAAAGAAAACATGCAAGGGAAAAATATAAACTTCGAGTAACTTTTCCGTCCAATGGCCTTTATTTTCACTTTGTTATGTGTCAGACATCTAGCTCTGTGTTTACGTGACTCCCGCCTGCTGACGTCCAAACTTTGATTAATGATTCTTTTTTATTTTTGGCTTCGTAAATTTTGGTCTGTATTAACACATGAAATAAATCAAACACAAGCATTCTCAATGGCAAGACAACAACGTCACTCATCTCACAGCAATTATTAAAAAGAATGGTATTTCATAATTGTATGAGCCAATTTAGTTATTTTTGTGATCTTTTTACTAAGAAGCATTATCACGAGAGTTGTAATCATATTTGAAACATGAGGTCCCATATCCTCCTTAGTGGGTTTAAAGGTTTAGAATTAACTGGCCAAGTTCTTGTTAGTGTTGGAACTTGGAACAGATCCTTGAGCTGATTAAGCTCTAAAAATCCCCTGATGAAGCCAAACAAGTAACTTTTGTGGGTGGACATTAACATTCTGTGTTATGTTCACAGAAAATCTCCAAGTGCTGCTGGATCCAAAATTTGCTTTTATTAAGTTTTGAAGTCAGTCAATAGTTTCATCTGTGAAACATCAATGCCCTCATGAATTTTCATTCTATCATTATGGTCTTGTGAATTTTTTCAACCCTGCAGGTTGCCAGAAGACTTGATAGTCAGTTAGCAGAATCCATTTTGGAAAGCAATGGTCAACTTGCATTTGAAAAGCTTGCAACTGCTACTCTTGAAAAACTAATGCCACGAATAGAAGGGAAGGGAGAGTTTGGCCAGGCTAGGTGGAAGGTGGTGTACGCTCCTCAGATTCCTAGTTTGGTTTCAGCTGGTGCTATAGTAGATCCTTTCACGTTACTTGCTGCCAATTTGTCATTTGGTACAGACGTCGAAGTCCAGCTTGGGAAACGTCTTCAGGTAATTATAATAAATTCTGTTTCATCTTTCAAAGCTTTGCTTTCCAAGAATTGGATTTCTATTAATTTCAGCCAACTATCAGTAGAGGGAAATTATTGGTTGTAATATTTCTTTGTAAATATAGCAACAAACGACAAAAGCTCTATTTTGATCATGATAGTTAAAATATACTGGAGAAGAACATAGAAAGAATTATTGTATATAGTTTAGGAATAATAAATGGTTACTCATTAATGATTCTTTGGAGTGTGGACATCATTAATTGGTCGAATAATTTAGAACATGTTTGGATTAACAACAATTTTGGTTGGATGTAGATTAATGGAAATAATAATTAGTTACTTTTGTATCAATATCAATTTGATTCTTACTTAAACGGGAATCATGGATGTAGAGTTAAACATGCACCAACTATTCCTAAAATGGGGAAAAAAATCTTTTCTTTTCTTTTCCTTTTACATCACATGCAGAAGCATCCATTGGTTGCCAAATCCTTTTTTAATGTTGGAACTGTTTCTCTTGCAGGCAAGAATTGTTAGGCAAATGAAGGAGTCACAGATGGCAATGGAATGGGCCTTGACCTATCAACTTACAAATCGTTTGCATCTGTGCCTGAAGTATGGCTCATCCAAATGCATACTTTTTGAATATTCTGCTACATCCCAGGATTAACTAACATCTTCACCTTCCTTAGGAAAACTAATTTTACCTTGGTCAATGCAGCTTAAACACATTCCCATTATCTTACCTCATGTTTTTTTATCAAAGGGAGGGAATTTTGGGTGTACTTCTTGTATATGTAGAAATAGTGAAGATGCATATTATTCTTTTGCTCAGATTGAGCTTGTTAATAGGGTATATGCTAAACTCATTAATGCCCCCTCCTTTGTATTGTATACAACTTCAACATCAATGAGAAAAAAAAAAAGTATAGCACAATTAGAGTGGAGGATTCAATGTAAGAGGGGTTTGTTTCACCCGGCCTCTGAAGTCAGAACCATCGAACCCTCTTGTTAGAGATGCAATAATACAAGTATAAGTTTCTTCATGTATCATTTCGATTCTTGTCAGAGGTGGTACAAGCATGATTTCTTAATTTTAGGAAGAAAATGATTAAAAGAAATCATTCTTTGACTATCTTTAAAGAATTATAATAAGATGAATATTTTATAAGCATTAATAAAAGTTGTATTAATAAAGAAAGAAAAAATCAACCATCCACGAAATCTTAATGGTAAAATTCAATTATTTTCCATGTACAAAATTCATCTCCTTCAGATTCGTGACATCTTTTGTTATGTCCCTGGCTTCTAGACATTTTGATTTGAACATTAATTGTTATAATTTCTTAAATACTTCTGAAGAAAATTATCCAAAAGAACTTAAAAACGATGAGAACTGCTGATCAAAAAACTACGAGAACTTTTTTCTTTACTTTCGTACATGTACCAGAAAAAAGAACTACATGAGAACTAAGTAAAGCATAATAAAACAATTGCAGTTTGTCCCATCAAGTCAACTAGCTAAACTACGAGACAAATAAATGAGTGAATCGGATTCCCACAATGTGTTTCCCACCCTTTGTTAAGATACATTTAGCAAAACAGAATTACAAGGCGTCAAGTTCTGCTCTCATCTCTTTGCAAGATAACCCAAAGAATATGGGATGCTATTTTAATTTGCCTTCTTCGAAGAAAAATGAAATGATTGCATAAATAATAGTAAATTTCACGCCCCCAAAAATTATCACAATTAAAAACAATTCGAGTTTTCACCAAAATCTCCAGGGATCTTTGTACGGAGGAACATAATTCTCTGTTGGACTAAGAAGACGAAACGAACTCACCGCTTTTTCAAGGAAAGGCCCCACCTGCATCAGATCAAATATATTCTACTGTTAGAACCTAACCAAAAATAATTTCTATTTAGAATTACAGTTTAATACTTCCACTCATTTTAAATTAACTTCTCAATAAAGAATTTTGTTTGCTAACTATGCTTTTATGCTGCTTCTAAAGGTTCTTATATAATCATTTTAACAAGCGAGACAGCATGAGAGAGAGAGCGTGTACTTTTTCCCACCGCGGGCTGACAGTTGAAGCACTGATAGAGTATAAATAACCTGCAAGCAAGTTCACAGTAATAGCAGATGAGGATTTCTAAAATGCAACACCAAAAATTAAAATATAACTTGAAAACCTCATAAGTAGCATGAAGAGAAACAATGGCAAGTGAAATTAGATTATTGGAGATCTCATATAAATATAACAAAGAGAAATATAAGTTTGTCTTGTTTTGTTTTTTCTTCCCATTGTTCCTCGTATGAGTGAAACAAATGTGGCTTCTGTTGAATGAGAAATGGAGAAGAGAACAAAATCATTTCCAACAGGAGCTTTCAAGCACTTTGTATGAATATGCATAAGACAGTCTCATATTAGATGCACAAAGGAAGGCATAATCTATAGTTCTATACCAATGAAATAAAATGAGAAAATATACCATCTCTTTCAGCCGTTGAAGCAAGATAATGCCGGTAAATATTTGATTTGTCGGTCTGTACAATCATGGTTTACAAATCAAAAGTAATCATTACATATACCACATTTTCCATGAAAAATATATGTATAGAAAGGAAGTACTTACAAGTTTCATAGGTGCTTTACGAACAAGGTATTCATAATACCAGTACATCTCACCATCAATCTGTGAGGAGACACAGATAAGCTCCAGTAAGCATACACTTCAACTTAAATATGTAATATGTAAATGTAGTATCCATTTTTAATCTCTGGGGTATTCATTATCATTAACAAACACATGCATATTTGGAGATCTTCATGTTCTTATTTGAAGATGTCTAGTTATATCATATCCATTTAATTGGCAGATATTTGTATATGATCTAACATGTTTATATATGTGCATTTACTTGCTTTTAAAAAAAATTATATTTTAAAAAGCTACACCTTGAGTGTATTTAATTAAGTAGATGTTGTGACTTGCTATAATACTCAAGAAACAAGTGGGTGTACCAAACCACATTAGCAGGTCTTCTAATGTGCACCCACCTGTTTTTTAGAAATAGAATTTTAACAAGCTACACATTGGATTTATTTTAAGAAAATTGAAATTATAACTTTATAAAATACTCCTTCTAAAAACTTAGTGAATGTACGTTAACAAATCTCTATATATATGAAGCATATCAGGTGAGGGATGACAGCGTGACAGAAGCTAATCTCAACTCCAGTCACACTTTCATTAGATATGCTCCACAGACACACATAGAGAAAGAGATAAAGATCCATCAAATATTGGAAACCAAGAAATAAAGATCATTTTATGATGCTTACTTCACTAGAATGAGTATTAAGAACTGAACTCTCTTCTAAGCGCTGACTTGAGGTAACCCGCTGCAAAATGACAAAACGTTGTTATCAGAAATAAAAGTAAAGGATTTTCAATGCAGGTCACACAATCAATGCAACTTTGTCATGTACACAGTTGGGTGTTACTTCTGTCTGTCTAAACAATAAAATTCAAAAGATCATGATACTTTGCAAACATAAGTGCTTAAATAATATCCATTAGAAATAGAATCCATATTGCAATCAACAACATGAGACATTTTAATATGACAATTCAAAACCTATTAGCTTAGATGGCTGACTAATATTGGTCATAGGACATCATAAACCAACTGGGATCCAAGAAAGATCAATAATGGGTACTTGCATGTGGATTTCGCAACATTATGTAAACAGTTATAAGTTATAATTTCAAAGCTTAAATTATGCAACAGAGGTCAAATATATTTTAACCTCTTGGAGCTTCAATGATTGCTCTGGCCTGTGAAAATCCTCAAAACAGAGAGGATTAATTTGAAATGTTATCTTCCCATCCATAATAAAAAGTTTTACCCACCCATCCAACATTTGTGACCATACTATCACTCCTTGGTTTTCACTTTTCAGGTAGAAATAATCTCTAGTAAGTGATGATGAATGCTAAATCTCTGAATTATAACTAATACTCAGAGAAACAGTAGCAGTTTCTTGTGGTTTGAAATTATCCAAAGAGTACAAAATTTTTCCAATAAGAATAGAAAGAACAAAAAAATCCATGAGTAATAAGGGAGTGACCAGTTACCAGTGAAGATCTGTCAGCTAAAACTGAATCAGCAACATCTTTTGCTTTCCATTTACTCTTATCCTTTGATTTTATATAGCTTAAATTTGGTGGACCTACCTGAATTTAGTACAAAAAACTTCAATAGATAACAAACTAAATCAAATAAGTATGATGTTGACTTGTTGAGAAAATACCGTGACAGAAATGATGACATTGTCACTAAAGTCAACACGCTCGGACACAATGCGCAGGCGTGCATCAGCTGCATGGAATTTAAAGAGCAAATTTTATCCAGAAAGGAAAAATTACCAAGCAACCGTCCAGTATCTTCAACCAAAAGATCAGTACTGGCTATTGAAACTCTCTATCTTTCATATATTTTAACTAGAGCGATATTAAATTCACATGGCAGTTGTAACAAGTACACAATGAAACATAACATAACCTGTATTCTGAAATAATTTGATTAGATTTTTGCCTGGCAAAGGAAAACAACAAAACTTACGAGAAAGTGGTGCAGCTGATGAATATCGCTCAGGCTTTCGGGATTCTACCCTTTAAATATAAGGAAAGAGTTAGCTTCCTAGAATAATCAAGAAGACAACATGTGGAGTTCCAAAGCTGAATATAGATATGTTAAACGCACTAGCACTAAATCCCATCAGATCAAGAAGCTCAGTGGACAAATTACTGACACAATTGAATGGATTCAAAAACATTAAATAAAGTTGGAAGTTGAATCTGCCCTAATCATTTTACATGAATAAAGAATTCAATAAAATGCACTGTATGTAATTGCCATACCATTTGAAGGAAAAATCATTGGAAGGCAACTCAACAGGGTACAGATAAGAATAGGCATTTATTTCATCCAAAAATGAAGCCATTTTGGGCTCTTCTTCAGCAAGAGTGACTGCAAGACAGAAAGATAATGATAAAGCAAATGTGTCTCAATTATAAACATAATAAAACACATAGGGTCAGAATAGGTAAACTTCTCCAAAAACACTTTAAGGAGAGAAAAATAGGAAGTAAAAATGAAATGAGGTTCTGCATAAGTTAAAATTAGCTTAACATATGCTAATTTGTATATGTTTTCTCCTATTAGAAAAGTTTATCCAAACATACCCATAGTATACGAAATAAGGTCCATTTCCACTTGGCCCATGAAAACCCAATATCAACATAAGCTCTTACAATCACATTCTTTCTTAGCAAGCAACAAAATGAGAGGCAGAATGCAAGAGAGATACCTGAAAGTGGGCATGTTAGAGATAGCGAGGTGAGGCCTAACAGCATCAAATCCCTTCTAAAAATCCTGTTTTGTGAAGTGGGCTTTAGAGCACAACATGAAAAGCGTGGTCTTTCATCGGATGAAGGGCATTTAAGGATTGCCCTGGTATTGTTTCTGATGAACATGGGTAAATGGTTTTAGAAAGAAAAAGAAGAGCAAATAAAATGAATTGAGAAAGTTGAGAAGCATACCTGAAGATAAGGTTATTGGGAAGCAGAGTGGGAGTGGGAAAGAAGAAGGAAAGGGAGAGGGAGGAAGAGGAAGAGGGTAAAACCATTGTTAGCTCTCAGTTGTGTCATCCACTACCTCACTCTCACTGTAACATTATCTCACTTTCAAAAAACACTTAACATGTTCTAAACAACATAGGATGATGGAAAAGGTTCAGAGTAATATTTATCGCTTATTATTATTATTATTATTATTATTAAAATAACATCACATTGGATGTTGTTGTGTTTCGTTTTATTTATTTTTCAATTTTGGCTAAAATCTGAATAACTTATTTAAGGAGTGTGAATGTGAAACAATTCTATTATATTTTCTTTCACTAATTATTAAATATACAAGGTTTGGAATATTTTATTATTTTATAAATTAGTTTTTATAAAATGATTTAAACAATACTATTACGGTAAAAGGTGTGAAAATATAATTCTCAAATTGTTGAAGGTTAATTGGGTGGATTATGTTGAAATTTTAATTCCCAACAATCCTTTTTTTTTTTTTATCTTCATAGTATAACAACTCAAAGATTAAGGGGACGATCCATACACGGTAAAATAAAAAAATAAAAAAAAATCTTGTAAATTATAAATTTAAAGAGTTATAAGTTTTATTAAATTGATTATAAATGTTTTTGGGTGTTTATAAATGCAATCAAATATTTTTACTACAATAAATAAATAAAAATAAAATAAAATATTTATTGCATTAAAACTTTATTTTAATCTTAAAAAATTAATTTTCACCTTTTCATGAAAATAATTCTGTAAAAAACTTATGAAAAATCATTCTTAGAAAAAAAATTCTAGAAATATTATTTTTTAAATAACAAATCAAACACTAGAAATTAAAATTATTCACGTCAGATTTCTAAAAAAAAAATAAAAAAAAAATTGTATATCAAACTTCTGTAAGTGTCTATGTGGTTTTGGAACTGCATGGTGTCACCTAAATTTCATTTCAAAATTTATATCAATGACTTTTCAGATTGGATTCACATTTTATGATTTTCACACGAAATCAAATAGTCTAAGTTTACTGTATACAAAAAATTATGTTATTAAGATATTTTAATGTGTTTTTAATTTATTTAAATTTTGTAAAAATATAGGTTAATGAATTTGTGTATAAATATTTATAAATATGTAAATAATTGTGAATATTGATATATATTTAAATAAGTTTATAGTTACAATGTTCAATATCATTCTGATTTATATGAATGTCTTTTAAAAAAATAATTTTTATAAATATATTTGTGTTTGTATATAACATAAACGTATACTATGACTTAATAATAATGAAAATTATTTTGAATTATATTTTGTAATCATTGATTTTTTTCATTTGAAAAATGCTTTTATCATAAATAAAAAAAAGGTGAATAACTTTAATTAAATATTAAAAATTAAATATTTGTGGGTGTTTGAATTTATATGTTAGAAGAAAAATAATGGTTAATAAAAAAAATGAGATGCTGCTTGCATAATAATTTTGTTAAATTGTGTTTTTTTATAACGATTAAAAGATTCCTTCCTTTTACTCAGAAAAAGAAAAAAAATTATTTTACTTTTTTATTTTTAATAGCATATTTGGTAAGTCACTCTAGAATGGTATTTTTTTTTTCTACACCGATATCTTAAAGTTTCACTTTAAACTAATTTGATTTAGTTGAAAAAATTAGCTCTTATATATTGTACTATCCGTACTCCGAAGCTGAGCTCCGAGCTCGGTATCACAGCACGAGCTGACCTTGGACACGCGCCACGCGGCGTCAGCTCGGCACTTAAATAGATCGTAACCGATCTCGGGAAATCTCGGTCTAGGCGAGATCCTCTACCTAATCAAATCACAACTAATCTCAGGACCAAGGCCCAACAAAATCCTAATACACATCAAGGTACGTGCATTATATATACGAGATTCATACTCGTACAAACTCTAACTTTAGCATCGGAGTCTCTTTTGCAGGTACCACCCCCATCTTGGAACACAAGCGTACCAGTGAAGGAGGTTCACCGATCTTACCTGGTGGATCAGCTCTACAGCAGATTTCCGGTAAGAACATTTGGCGCCCACCGTGGGGCCGATCAAGACAGCTATTATCGGCCACTCTTATAGTTTCTACCAGAAGCCATAGCAGACGCGCAACAGACGACCTAGATCACGCAACTACCATGGACAACGAAGCAGCATTGAGAAGGCTGATCGAGCAGGTCGAGCAGATGCGGCAGCAACACACCGCTGATCTGCAAAACATGCGTGCCAAGCACGAAACTGACCTAGCGGCGATGCGAACCGCTAATGAAGCAGACCTAGCGGCGTTGCGCGCCGAGAATGAGCGTATCCGCGCTCAGCTACCACGGCGCACCTCTGATCAACCCCCTCAACCGAGTCACCTAAACGAGGAAGAGGGGCACTCGGTTTCTCAACCGCCAACAGCGCATAGGACACCGACTCCAAAGCCTGCCACGCATCGATCTCATGCACCGACACACAAATCGGCCCATGAGGTCAGCAATGCTCCTACTCATGTCGCGGGGGATCAACCAACCTTCCGCCGTCATCCTTTTGTGGATGGCATTATGGAGACGCCACTCCCTCTCGGATGGAAGCCTCTCCACCTCGACCGCTACGATGGCACGACAGACCCAGACGAGCACATCAACCTGTACACCACACAGGTAAACCTCTACACCAATAACGATGCTATTCTGTGTAGGGTTTTTCCGACCTCGCTCAAAGGGGCCGCGCTCAACTGGTACACCCAGCTACCTGCCGAGTCAATTGACAGCTTCGGCACCCTGGTCAGACGGTTCACGGCGCAATACGCAACGAGCCGACCTCATCACATCACATCCGCCGCCTTGGCCATCCTCAGACAGGGCGACGACGAACCATTAAGGACATCCATGGAGCACTTCGCTGGCATCTCCGTCAAAATCCGCAACTTAAACCCCGAGGTCGCACTGCACTCCATGCTCATGGCGTTGAAGCCAGGACCTTTCGTCGACAGCCTTTGCCGACGACCTCCTCCCGACTAGGGGTGAGTATGCGGACCGGTCCGGCCCGTTTAAGGCCCGGTCCGTGAAGTCCGCATTTTTAACGGGCCGGATAAATCCGGTCCGCTAAATAAATGGACTTAAATCTTCAAGTCCGTATCCGGCCCGTGAAGCCCGCGGATAAACGGATAAGTCCGCGGGCCCAATTAAATCTAAATTGTTTAAATGAATATTGACTCAGATTTTGAATTTCTTTTCCTTTATTTAACCTATGAAAACATGAGGAAAAAAAAACATATAAAATGATATAAATATACTTCTAATAATAACATCAAACATTGTAAATAATAAATCAAAGTCTTAAATAACAAAGTTTACACATTCTAAATTTCTAATAGAAATATTTAAGTCTCAATGCCTTTAAAATTTAAAGTCCAAGCATACCAACTATTAACCAAATATTAAA